TAACACTAGACTTGACCAGGTTAAGATTGCAGTATTCTAGAAAGCATCCTCTTGGGAGTCAGTTCCACAAAGCAGCAGAGAACAGCTTAGGATACATCTGAGTTGACCAATTTGGTCTTGGAGGACTGGCTACTAACAACTACCTTTTAAGGACCTGAAGGACATGATAATTAAGAAAACTCTTCCAGTGATTCCATAGCTAGAGAGCTTGTGCAGTTACCCTTGATGCCACACCTTGTCAAAGGCCTTTGAAGTATTTAACGCCATTATCCTTGACATGTATTTTTTGTCTAGTGCCTCACTGATTCTGTGATTAATGGCAGAATAAGATATGTCATTATTGTTCTAAGAAACTTTTCTTGAAATTTTAACATTTTATTTGAAAAGGTTCTTAAGTGGCTTCTCTCTGTCTTTTCTACAAATACTTTCATGGCAATTGTTCTGATGAGTTGTTGAAGTCTGCTACTAGATTTGCAACTAAGTCTTAACAGTTTTACTGTTGAATTTGCTTGTTCTATTTTAATCGTTTCTTTTTTCACACTTCTCACTGGTGGAACTCCTGATTTCTTGTGTTCCTGCTACCTGCAATCTTCAAAAATTAAAATGCATCTTCTGTCTTTCTGAATCCTGTTTTTATTTATTGTTTGAACTTATCTTTTTCCTCACTTTTACTCAAATCGTCTCATTCTCTTTCACTCCCTGTAACCCATTGCATCTTAGTAGCATTGTTGCCTTGCTTGTTCTGAAATGATTAAAATAAAAAAGATAATGGCAATAAGAGGTTATAATGAAATATTAAATAGAATTGAGAACTAGAAGTTTAATATGATGTAGACAGTATCAGGAGTAAAAATGGCAGCAATGATAGTGCCAGACTTCTGGAAAAATGGCAGCAATAATAGTACTAGATTTCTAAAAAAATGGAAGCAACAATAGTGCCAGACTTCTGGAAAAATATCAGCAATGATAGTACTAGACTTCTGGAAAAATGGCAGTGATGATAGACTTCTATAGAAGATTGGTACTTTTGAAATCATTTAAAATTTCTTTAAGTAAAAAAACAAAAAAGAAGAAATTACAATGGTATATGTTATGTGGATAAGTTGATTGTCAGATTGTTACTCCCAATGAAAATCTCTATCCATAAAAGCCAGGATGTATGTGTGTGTGTGTGTGTGTGTGTGTAACAAATGAACAGCCACAATTTTCAACAGATTTGCACCAAAATTTACATGCATATGCTCCAAGTTAGTGGGAAAGCCAAGACCGACTTTACATTTCCCAACTCCCATTGATAGTGGAAATAATCGATTTTTTTCATGCTTCTACGGCAGTTTTCATGTAGTTTGCCACCATTTTCTACTGGCTAGAGTGAGAGCCAATAGCTGGCTGTCATGAATAGGCAGGAAGATTCTATTGGCCAGCGTGAGAGCCAACAGCTGACTGACATGAATGTTAACTAGCATGCTAGCATGCAAAAAAATTGAGAGCTGTATTTGTCACAAGTGGGAAAAATTTTAATCTGCATGGCACTTTACTCCGATTGGCTCATTCACTTGCTTAAACTCAATGTTGATTCTGATTCCACAGAACTGGGTTGGGTGTGAAAAAGTATTTGTTGTTAACATTTTTTTTCATTCGGTTTTTCCAGTTACAAGTCCTTTTTTAAAGCTGATTGTTTTGTGTTCATTTTGTTTAGTTCTTTTTTCGTAACAGATTTTATGTTTAGTATAGAGCTTAGAAAAAATTCAGTGTGAGATAGGCAAGAAGTAAGGCATGTAGCAACATCAGCATGGCAAAGGGCACTCCTTTAAAGGCAAGGAAGGGCAAAAATATTTAAAGTCAAGTGATAGCAATTGCTGTATGAGTCGTATGATTTTTTAATCAAGCACAGGCAACGTCGGGCCATGCTGCTAGTAATAAATAATAGAAGTTGTCATAGTAAATCCTGTATCCTTTCCCTGTGGTATATAGGATTTCAGAGTTGTCATTCTCCTAGAGTGGTCGCCAACCAAAGCTAGAAAGCCAAGTCTTATTTGATGTTAACCTCTAGTTGAGTGATAAGAAATATGATATCTTGAAATTTCTTAAATCAAACTGTATTTTAAAATATAACTTCAACAGAACTACAACATAAAACACATATCACCACCTCTAGTGATCATATTCACAAAAAACATGTATATGCACAAAAGCTGAGTATCATCTACCATGTAGTCACTTGTGAAAGTAGAACAACATATATTTTTATAATTTCAAAGCTCCCAAGAAAATTAAATTTCAGCATTAAATGACCCATAAGGAGTTGATATGCCATTAAACAAATCAACCAACCAACATTATGAAGGAATGTTTGTTAAGACTGAATATTTATAAAAATATACCCATTCAATATATTATTGATATGTGTGTACTTTCTTCATTTTTTGTTGATTGGGCACAAAGATTCTACTTTCTTTAACTGAGGTCTGATGAAAGAGGAGCAATAACTGTGGCTTACAGCTATATCACATTGAAACACCAGTTCTCCTAGAATCACCGAAGTTAAGCAACATCATGCTCAGTCAGTACTTAGATGAGTAACAACTTCAGAATACCAAGTGCTGTCTTACATGTGCAGGTGATGTAATGAGTAACAGCTCAGAATTTGGAAATCAGAGAGTTGAGATCATTATCAATGATTAATAACTTTCCTAGGGTATTTGTGCAAAAGTGAATGCAGTGACCTCAGCTAGAATTTGAACTCTGCATGCCAATCATACTTTCCACTCCAGCAATGTCTAAACTTTGTGCTCACCCAGTAATAATAAATGAAGACCAGTAAAGAAAGATGAACAGTTATTTTTTTGTGTGTGTGTATTTTTTCTTTTTTTTATGTGGGTAACAATTTGAGAGGGGGTTTATGACAATTTTGTTGATGTCAAAGAGGAGGCTGAAGAGAACAAAAAGGACAAATGGAGGTTGTGGTGTAAGAGTCAGTGAAAAAATAATGAACTCTTGGAATGTGCATAGTAAGGGGAGGTTGAGAAGGAATAAAGAAAAGAACATGGAAAAAGCAAAGAGTGGTGGTGTTTTGCAGTGGGGGTGATGGTGTTTTGCAGCGGTGGTGGTGATGGTCTAAAAACAGAGAGATAGAGAAAGAATGAGATGGTTGTTATACTGTATCAAGCATGAGATTAAGAAAATAATTTTCTTCTGGACTGGTTTTGATATTCTAATAAAATAATATTAAATTTTTTTTTTTGGGGGGGAAAAATGATGATGAAACTGAAGATGTGCTGATTACAGGTGAGCAATCATGAGGATGACAATGACAAAAAAAAAAAATTGAGAATCACACCTCTTGGACCTCATCTCAACTGATCTGTCTGACATAATTTAGCAGGTTAGGTCCTGGGGAGGTATAACTGTTAAGGTTATTCAAGTTTCAATTTTTTAATTGCTATAACAATTACTTGAAAAATTAATTAATTATTCAGTTTATTTAAAGCATTTCCTGTGCAAGAAAAGTAGAGAGAGGAGCTAAGTGATGACTATGATGGTGATAATGATAAAATGACAATAACAGTGACTCACAAGATGAAGATGATAGTGGGAAAGATGATTGTGGAGATAAAAAAAAGATGAAAAAGTGTGGGCGGGTGGGGTGAAAAAGCTGTACAAAATGATAAAGAGGTGTGAGGAAAATGATTGTCAGTAATGTTGATAATGAGGCAATGGAGGTGGGGGGGAATAATTTTAGTGATGATGATAGTGATGATGATGATAAAACAAAAAAATAAGACTGTGATGATGATTACTTTAGAAAGGTAAAACTGGAAAGGTGTGATTATAAGGAGTACATGATGATGATTAAAAGTTGTAAATTATAATCCTCTTCTATGTGACCTGTCCCCACCCTGCAAGTGATGATGGCTCTCCCTAATTTCCTGTCCTTTGCAACACTTAAATTTTGTCTTTTTTGTTATATCTCCTAAACCTTGTTCTACCATCCATTTACTCAAGTTCTTCAAGTACATTATATGTTGTTCTCCTTTATCCCTCTTGCCTTCAATTTGACCTGTGAGTATAAAATTTTCCAAGTCCTCTTTCCTCATTATGTGCCCTAGAAATTTCTGCTGTATCTTCCTGGTGTTAAGTGTAAGTGTTCCTTTTGTTTCCATTTTCTCTAAAACTTTGTCATTGCTTACATCTTTGGTCTATGGTATTCTCAGCATCCTTCTGTAGAACCACATTACTATTACTTCAAATCTCCTCTCCATCTGTGAGGAGATTGTCTTGCACTATTATAATAAGTGATGAAAACATTAAAGCTATAATGTACTGGATTGATTGATTGGTTCATTTTATATGGGTTATCAACCCTTTGGAGGTTATTTAAAGTCAGAAAATATTTTTAGATTGTAAGAATAATTTTTATTTTTTATTTTTTTATTTTATTTTTATTTTTATTTTTTTTTTGGTGATAATAATTTTTCAGTGATACAAGTCTTACTAATTAACCCACAGCAGGAGAGAGAAGAGGTGGATTCATACCTAATCAAATAAACAAACAAGAAATTATAATGTGGATATAAAGTGTGGGATCAATTCTATATTACAGTCAGTATATAAACTGATCCCTCACTTTGTGGTCACGCTAGTTTCTATACATTTATATTCCAGATAATGTAAATAAATCCAAAGGACATGCAGTGTAGCTAATCAGTATTTGATTGACTGATTCGTTTCTTACGGCCTATCAACCATTTGCAGGTTATTTAAAGTCAGAGAATATTTTTAGATTGTAAAATTTTTTTTTTCCTTTTTTTGGGAATGATAATGACTTAATGCTACAAATCTTAATTATTAACTCATAGTAGCAGGGAGAAGAGGTGAACTTATACTTTTCCCAGGGTATTTGGGTGTCAGTGAATATAACGAAACCAATGGGAATTGGAACTCTTTTCTCTAATTAACAATTCCGAGACATTATCCATTACACCACCTGCACATCCAAGCTTACAGCACCTAGTATTCCTAAGTGGTTATCCATTTAGGTATTGACCAGGTTCAACATTGCTTAACTTCGGTGATCATACAGGAACAGGTGTTTCAACATAATATAATGAACTGGATTTAAGGTAAAGATGATAATATGCATATAACTTATGATGATAGTTGCAGTGATGAAAATAAGTAAATTATAATGAAAATAAGTAATGTACTTTTTATTATAAGGAAAGAAACAGAAAATATGAGAAGATTGTATGATGATGTGAAGATTATAATGATCATAAGAGTGAATAAAATAGGAAAGTGGATTAAAATTAAGTTAATTATAATTAAACTGGTGAAACTGATGAATGATGAAAACAAATCTGAAATGTCTAAATAGAAATGAAATACAAATATTGATCTATATATAATAAGAATTTAATAATGATTAATGTTTGATAAAAGTTATGATTATATGACAAGAGAAAGGGAAGAGGTTAATGATAATGAAATCAATAATAAGGAAGAAATAATGGATATTTTATTGCAGAATAATTGATAAGGATGTGAGCAGAATAATGACAATAATAAAAAAGGGAATGACAATGAAAACGAAGTTAGCAAGAAGGAAAGAATGATGATAATATAATGCAAATAATGATGTAAGGATGAAGTGAACAGGAGGGAAATAATGATGATCATATGACAGAAATGATGATGTAATGATGACGCAGAGAGGGAGAAAATAATGATGTAAGGATGAAGTGGCCAGGAAGGAAATAATGATGATAATCCACTGGAAATGATGATGTAAAGGTGAATTAAACGAAAAGAAAATAATGATGATAATATAACGGAAATAATGATGTAAGGATGAAGCAGAGAGGGAAAAAATAATGATCATGACAGGATGAAGTGGACAGGAAGAAAATAATGATGATCATATAACAGAAATAATGATGTAAGGATGAAGCAAAGAGGGAGAAAATGACAACGATAGGATGAAGTGGACAGGAAGAACATAATGATAATAATCTAACAGAAATCATGATGTAAGGATGAAGTAGACAGGAAGAAAATAATTATGATAATATAATGCAAATAATGATGTAAAGATGAAATGGATACGAGAATGATAGCAGTAGAATAAAAAGAAACCAGATTTTAATTTAAGGATTTGTAACGGCAAAAAGATAGGATCTTAAACCCAGTATATGTGTAATAATCATGACGATTAGGATTTTAGCAAAACGATGATGATATACATAGAATAACGAATATAATACAATAGGAATGATGACAACATGAATAAAATAAAGACAAATATGGAATGATGATGATGATAATTATATTGATGATATAATTATCGTAATGAAGATATTTTGGGGAAAAGTTAATTATGATCAGGATGAGAATAAAACTGATGACGAGGCAATGCAACCATAAGCTTGGTTTTATAGATGTGATTGTTGCGAGAACAAAAGTAGAAAAAGGGAAGAGATACTAATTATGGGTGTGCTGAGATATATGACGGGGTGCTGAAAAAATTCTTTACCTCCCCAAAAAATAAATAAGTATATAAATAAATAAAAATCTAATATTTGGTAATTTTTGCCAGATCTTTGGGAAATGGGTGAGCCAAGAATTTTCTAGCAACCAACTGTAGTCTTAGAGTGCTGCTGATAATGTACATAAATATGATGCTGATGATAAAAAGAAAAACCCCAAAGCATGAAGGAGAAGGAGCAGAATTAACAACATTGCCAATGGCAGCAGCACTGAAAGAAAGAAAGAAAATGATAATATTTAGCATCTGCTATAAAGGACAGGAAATTGTGGAGAGCCATGATCGCCAATGTCCTGAAGGGATACAGCACACAGAAAAAAAAAAAATAATATTAAAAGAAAAGTAGTAAGGAGGAGGACGAGGAGGAGGAGCAGCGTTATAATAGGTATATATATGTATATGTAGTGTCATCGATAAGTAGATAAGCCTAATGATGAAAAAAAAAAGCAGTTATTTTACACAAATACTTATTTTCCAACATAATCTCCTTCTCTATAATTCATATAACTTGGATAGCACATATTCAAGTAACAGTGTTAGGCTATAGACTTATTGATACATCGTTATATACATACCCAGATGTGTGTGTGTATATATATATGTCTACATATGGGCACATATATGTCATATATATATATATATATATATATGTCTACATATGGACGAATATATGTCATATATATTTATATATATATATGGGCACACACACACACACACACATATATATATATATATATATATATATATATATATATATAGGCACACAAAATATATATATATATATGTGTATGTGTGTGTCCTGTGCATATATGTTTATATGATTGTCTGTGTATATATATATATATATATATATATATGCTATCTATGTATATGTGTGTGTATGTATATAGTAGTCAGCACCCACTCACATCTGAGCATAGGGATTGCCATCCTCTCTCCTTATTCCCTTTCTGCTCTCTGGTGACCATGGTTATAGCCATGGCAGAGATGGCTGTGGAGGCCCAGACTACTCCTGAAGAATAGTCAAAGAAAGTTTGATGCAGCCTTTCATATGAATTTTATTTTGATGGAGAACCCTGTGTAAGTCCACACACTCATGGCTCAAATGAGATTGAGACAGGCAAGTTCTGGAAAACCTGGTTGCATCAGGTTGTCAGATGCTTGTACTGTGGTTGAAATTGTGTAGACCTTTGCTTATTCCATTGTTTGGGTATTTGGGGGTTTGTTGCATTCATCCTGGTCCCTCCTCTTCGACCTTACTGCCATGGGTGACCCTATCAGAGTTGAAGCTCCAGACTGCTTTGCTTTTGGGATCACTGTAATATGCAAGCCCTCTACCATGACAAGGAATGACCATATATATTTTAGACTGGTTGTCAGTAAACAGTTTATTATCAAATGTAACATTTTGACTTTAATGATAATGTGGGATGTGTATGTATACAAATGTGCACACACACACATATATCTGTTTATGAATAGATATCGATGAATACACTTTTATATGTGCATATATATATATGTCTATATATATGTGTGTGTATGTGTGTTTATAGCGGCTTAGTTTGAGGAATCGCAGAGCCGAGTTCGAATTCCAGTCGAATCCATTACATTCACTTACGTGCTAATACCCTTGGGAAAGGTATGAATCCTCTTACTCTCCAGCTATGGGTAAAATAGCAGGACAGATTGGGTTCTATAGCCTTGGATGGCAACGGGTCTAGGAGAAGGATAACTCTGAATTCAAAACCTGCGGAGGGTCGTTTGGGAACCTTGTGGCATTCGATGCACCAGGTCTCTGTATTCGTCCCTTCAAAAAGTGTGGATGGTCCTGCACGAGGCCTTCACCACTATAATCAAATCTCATGTGTCGGTGTCAGGCTGTCGGTTTCCTGGAAACTGGTCTGCTTGACCCTCATACGTCGAATCTCGACGGGAGAGTCGATTATGTGTGTTTATGTGTACATATATATATGTGCGTGTGTATGTGTACATATGTGCATATATATGTATGTCTGTATATATGTGCGTGTGTATGTGTACATATGTGCATATATATGTATGTCTGTATATATGTGCGTGTGTATGTGTACATATGTGCATATATATGTATGTCTATATATATATGTGTGTGTGTGTGCGTATGTGTGCATATATATGTATGTCTGTATATGTGTGTGCGTATGTGTACATATATATACATATATGTCTATATATGTGTGCATGTTTATGTATACATACGTGCATATATATATGTCTATATGCATACATATGTGCATATATATGTCGATATATATATATATATATCTGTATATGTATATATGTCTTATATATACAGTACAATGGATAAATTGTCCTCTAAATTATGCAAAAATGAAAATAAAACTTATATCTCATTTTAACGAATATATTTACCAAAATTACTGAAAAATATCATGAAATAATAAAGAGTAAATTTTTTTAATAAAACCTCCATTGGCTTCAACCACGGCTTCCAGACGACTTTGGAATCTCCTGCAATTCTTCTGGACATTTGCCTTGTTTAAGTGGATGAATGCTGACATAATCCTTGCCTTCAGTTCATCTTTGAGTTTTGTTGGTCTCTCTCTCAACTGTGCCCCACATATAATAATCAAGGGGTTTGCAATCTGGGGATATAGGGTCTTCTTGGCCCAGGGCAATACTACTTCCTCAAGGCACTTGATGAAGGCATCTATGGCCTACATCAAGTGGTCTGAGGCCCTGTAGGAAGATGAATGGAGGTATAACACTGCCATCACTAGTGATCACTCCAAACATCATGATGCTGACTGAATATTTGGCTTTCATCATTCTTGGTACTTCTTTTGGGGTCACAGCAAGTCAATGGCTTTTCTGTGGGTTCATCTTATCCTGGCAGAAATTTTTCTCCTCTGAGAACAAGTTGAAGGGAATGCTTGAGTTTGTTCAAAAATGCAAAATAGTAAATCCTTTTAATGTCCTTCATGGCTTGGGATAATAGTTGGCTCTTTCTCATGTTGTATAAGAAATACCAAATATTTACATGCACTACCTGCCTGATAACAAATTCATAAAAAAAAAACATCCCCTAAAACAAAAACCTGATTGGTTTAATTGATTGTTTATCAATCATGTTCTAGATCTCACCAACAAATTCAAATAGATCTTTTTTGTTTATCAGGAATTTTTTTTTTTCCAAGCTGCTGTAAGTTTCATGATCACCATTAGACTCATTCAACTCTTTTTAATCCTCTGCAAAATGCCCTAAGATTGAATCTAATTCAATTTTTTTCTGAAATCTTTGTATTGGCACTTCCAGCACGAATCTGAAGCAGAACAGAATGCCATTTCCAAAAGCCTGGTGGAGTGAATTGTGTCATGTTGCTCTTTTTCTCGCAGACAATGCTCAACTGACCTTACTATACTTTGCAGTCAACAAACAACATGCATGCACGAAATTAAAAATATAAAATGGCGACAATTTATCCATCGCACACTTTATGTGGGTGTATACATATGTGTATATATATCTGTCTCTACATATGTGCATATAA